TGCAGTCAACAAATATAATAAAAATTTTAAAAAATCTAAAAAAATAGGTTAATGCATAGGATAAAATATGAAGGTGATTTATGTGATAGTAGGTATTTAATTTATTTATTAATTCCAAAAGTATCAACTGTCAGAGATTTTGTATCCACTATCCCCTGATAGATCATAGAAAGTAGAAACTAGAAACTTGAAACTAACTTCATAAAACATTCAACAACCATAATCACAAATTTGCAACAACAAACTTTAAAGTTACAAAATACAACTAAAAGTCTATGAAGATTAAAGAGTTCAAAGGTCAAGACAAATCATCATAATTTCTCTAATCATGAGATTCTAAATTTCAAATCTTAATTAACAAGTTATCTAGAGAATCGCCATATGCAACAACATCATCACTATCATCCTCAACAGCCTCCACATATTGTTCTTCTTCCTCTGTCTCCTCTGAGTCAGCCTCCTCCTCCTCGACTTCTAGAGTTGATGTGCGACCGGTCCTAGCTCTACTCGTTTGTGCTCTAGAGTTAGGTCGTTCTTCATTAGCCCCGGTGGCTGGCTCGATATCAAGCCAAGTAAGATCCTCACCCTCAAACACAAGCTCTACTCATGGATCCATAGTTCACTCACTAGTCCAATCGCCATCAGATTCATACAATTGGAATTGGGTTAAAATCCATGCGCTTGTGATACCTCTCCCTAAGTTTCTCAATATACCGCACATAAACCTCATCATTCAACTCTTCTACTCCAACCTCACTCTCTGCTCACAAATTCTTTTCGTTTCATTTTTTTTCTTTTCTTTTTCTTTTTTCAAGCTATCCATGTATTCTCCAATATCCTTTTTGATATCTTCAGTAGCTTGAAGACATGCGCTTACACTCCCAGAAATACCAGCTAAGTGTTCCTTTTGCCAAAAAATACCTGACATATAAGTATTTCCACAAAACGTATAAATAACACAATTTTGATGTTTAGGATTCTTTAGTTTTGCATATTTCTAAGCCGGATCCTTGTTATTAGAAGATTGTGAAGACACTACCCCAAAAAACATGTGTAGTAGGAAAAAAAATTTACTGTTTACTTGAAGAATATATTGATTTCTGCTTACCCTTGAAACCAGTCAAAACTTCGCTAAAACTGCTTCAAATCAACACCCAAAAGAAACAAATCAACAACAAAAGATCAACCAAGACAAACATCAACAACAAAATTTTTGCCACTTTTCTTTTTATTGATTTGATCTCGTAAAAGCCATGGATGTGGCTGATTTTGGTAGTTTGGGGGGTTTAATAGCCCCAAGCCCTTTCCCCCCTTTTTGGGGCTTAAAAAGACCAAAATACCCCTTTTCAAGGGGCTATGCGCCGCATCCCACCACATTGAAAGGTGTGGCTATGTGGAACTCAAGGTATTCAATTTAAAAGAAAATTATTTTGCTTTTATTCCAAATACTTGAATTCATCTTACATGGGTCACTATATGTTGTTGAAAATTAAAATAATACCCTAGATACAACCGAGGAACTTTATTTTTACTGTCAAGAGAAATGGAAACTATCCATGAACTTTAAACTAACTTTCACCAAAAAATTTAAGCACAAAAAAGTTCCTGAAAATTAACAGAAAATAGAAAATAATACCGAAAATTAATTAAAACTACTGAGAAGACTTACTGGAAGATGCCTATAGTTACCCTACCCGAACTTGGTACACCCCACACCCGATTCCATGACCAATGGTGTATTTTTACTCCTTTAGGTACTGCTGAAAATTCTAAGATAGGGAAGCTTTGTAGGCAATACTTTGTCTTTCAGGGTTTTTAGAAAGCTCAAAATCAGTATTTTAAAAAGCGAACTGCGTAGCGCCTAGGCGGCCACCAAGGCAGTCCAGGAGGCCTGGGCGATGCGGCCAAATTAGGCGAATATCCCTGGGCGCCCGCCTGAATCCGCCTAGGCAGCCGCCCAGGGCTTGTGCCCCGCCCAGTGGTGGAAATACGGCTTCTTGAGGGTATTTTTTGGTCTTTTTTTAATACTAAAGGGGTAAAATTGTGGGTTTTAGATTCATTTGAAACCTAAAACCCATTAAAGGCTATTTTAGAGAGAGCCCCAAAAAGAAAAACATTTTTACTGGGCCGCCCAAGTTCTGGGCCCCCGCCTAGGTGCTGCCTAGCGCTTTTTGAAACACTACTCAAAATCAACTAGAGTTTATAGAAAACCTATGAGAACATATTTGGGCTGAATCTATAAGTTGATCTCTCTCTAGGCTTGGCTTCTCTCTTCTATCTTTAAAATACAGCAAACCTTAGCTTTAGGGTTTTACATAATACTACCTCCTCTCTTTTATTTAATGGAAGTTACTCAAATAAAACAAGGGAGAGAAGGAGAGAGAGTAGCGTGACCATCTCCTAAGGAAAAAAGAGGGGGTCACATGGTTTCAAATTTTAAGAGAGAGAAATATGGCATGAGGGAGAGAGAGGGCTTGGGGCGTGAGAAAGAGAGAGAGAGAGATCTTGTTATGGGAGAGAGAAAGATCTTGTAATGAGACGGGGCTGAAATCTTATTTAAATAGACACAAGATCTATTTTCAATTTTGCATAGGATTCTAATCTTAGTATGCCTTATCCCATTTCCAGCTTGACCTTCAACATAATTAGGAAATCTGTGGGAGTGTCATCCATCCCATAAATCAACCATCATGATTTTGGGTGGAAAGATACGAACCTTATCCCCTTAGATTTTGACCTAGGCCCAACTTCTTTTTAAATTTGAACAATCAAATTTAAACATTTATCTAGATATCCCATAATCAAGGAAGATCTTAATTTTAAAATAACTCCCCTAGAATAGGAAACCAAATCTAATTTGAAATCAAAAGATTTCCTGTCTTTTAAGTAGTTGAAAGTTTAAACCAAAATAAACTAAAATATGGGGCGTGCCCCCTTTGCCCTAGAAAAGGGACGTGCCACTATTTTGTTAAAATAGTGGCATGCTCCCCTTTTCCCTACAAAAGTAGCGTGCCACTATTTTGCTAAAATGTTGGAGATTGGCATATGCTAGCTGTGACCAAATTATTCAACAAAGTGTTAAGAACAAGGAAAATGGCAAATAAATGGAAGTATTATGGCACCTATTTATAATGACAAAGGAGTTTCCTACTTAGACAACAATTAAAGCATGAAATGAGTATATTAGATAATCAATTCAATGTTATGCCAGGGAGGTTAATAATTGAGGCCATTTTCCTTCTTAGACAAATGTTTAAGAGGTTGAGGAAGAACGGAAAAGACCTCCACATGGTCTTCACTGATTTAGAGAAAGCTTATGATGGAGTACCTAGAGATTTAATTTGGTAGGTGTTAAAAAAGAAAGGAGTCTCCAGATGCTATATTGACATCATGAGATATATGTAGGAGAGAGCATTAAATAGCATGCAGACAACTAGTGGAGAGAGAAATGAGTTTTCAGTGACAATGGACCTATATCAAGAGTCAATGTTGAGCCCTTATCTATTTGTTTAACTTATGGACGAGTTAACCAGGCACCTACAAGATCAAGTAGTTTTCAGTGACAATGGACCTATATCAAGAGTCAATGTTAAGCCCTTATCTATTTGTTTAACTTATGGACGAGTTAACCAGGCACCTACAAGATCAAGTATCAAAATGTATGTTATTCGTGGATGACAGTTTTGATTGATGATACCAGACGGGCGTCAACACAAAGTTAGAACATTGGAGGGATGCTCTAGAATATAAAGGTTTTAAAACTAGTCGAACTAAGTCAGAATATATAGAATGTAAGTTTAGTAATAATATGAGTAGAAATAAAACGTAGTTAAGATTAATGGCCAAGAAATATCTAAAAGAGAGTATTTTCGACATCTTAGGTTGATAATCCGAGAAAATAGAGAGATTGAAGATGACACATAGAATTAGAGCTGGATGGGTGAAGTAAAGATGTGCATATGAAGGTTTATGTGATTGCTACATAACAATGAAGTTGAAGGGGAAGTTCTATAGGACACTTATGAGACCTACTTTTCTTTATGGGATGGAATTTTGGGCGATCAAGAAACAACATACTCATAAGATGAGTGCAGCTCAGATGAGGATGTTGAGATGGATGAGTGGCAAGACAAAAAATGATAGAATTCGAAATGAATACATTCGAGGTAACTTAGACGATAAGATAAAAGAAATAAACTTAGGTGAGCTGGCCATGTGCAGCATAAATCCAATACAACACCGGTTAACGGGTGCAATTTGTTCCAATAAAAGGATCTAAAAGGACAATGGGAAGGCCCAAGAGAACACAGATAGAAGTAGTGAGAAAAGATATGGGGAAGTATGATCTTACTTGGGATATGGCCCCTGATAAAGCATAATGGTGAAACAGGATTTGTGTAGCCGACGCCAAATAGTTGGGATAAGGCTCTGATGATAAGATGATATTCGTACAACACTATTTTGCAATCTCTGAGCAAATGAACACAATTCCCAGCTCGTTCATGAATAATACATCTAGCAAACTAAATAATAATGAGAAAAAAAGATCTATGGGAACATTTTTATTTTCTTTTCTTTTTTTTTTTGCATGGATTTCAAGCCCTTACCAAAACAAGGATTTATCTATTTGTTTGGAATCTGGAAAACTTGCCTTGCTATCTACCAAGAATGCCAACGGGATGTAGAACCTTCCGCCTTGACCAAGCTACTCTACAAGACAATATGCCCACTGAACTCGAAGCTCCTTTCTACCCTTTTATGAACTTATGTTGATCACATGGTACAAGATGACAGTAGTCGCTATTGTCCAAGTGGGACTAACTTGATGATTTAGAAATTTTGAGATGGAGAGAGAGAGTAAATAATGAACATGATTGATAGCCATCCTTATGACATATCTTCAAACATAAAGAAAGGACTACAAACCATTCAAAAATTTATACTACTTGCGCAAAAAGACTATATGCATGCAATCAAAATTCATGACATGAGATCCTCACCACTTATCAAAACGCCAAAGAAACAAAGAGTTGTCTACAGATGCCCAAGCCCGATGGATCTCTGGAAATATGCCACATAAAGCTGCGCCCTCCCCACCAGCTGCATTATATCGATCAATTAGAGCAGCAGGTAACTCCTTTGTATCCACAACTTCAACCAATGGAGGCCACTGCAAACAGAAAGTCATTAAACATGCAAGAACTTGTTAGTTAATTATTGAGGATGTTCTGAACCAAAGAGGTCATCTATTACCAATCGTCACAAGAGGGATGACAAATGCATTCATGAATATAAAATAAAATATGAAGATATGGAAAAAAAACAAAAAAAAAAGCAATTCCACCCCAATGGATGTCTCTATGCAACAAATAAATTACACAAGACATATCGCATGTTCCTGTAACTATCAATATCTAGCATTGACAAATTCACACAGCCCTAAGACATGGCTGAAATGGTTATTTCGCACTTTGCATATCCAAATTTGTTAAAATAGGAGTGTAGAAGATCTGATATACTGTACTATGTAAACGAACTATTAAAAGTAACAACATACTAGTAAAAACAGAAGCAATTCAAGCACATTAACACCACACTCGCACAAGTGTTAGTTACGCCCTCAAACTCGACTTGAGTTTGCATGAAACCTAGTTTTAAATTATAAGAAAATGGTATATGAGCATATAATTAATCCTTAGAATCCAAATCGAAAATGAGTAAACGGGAGAGGAAGCTCAATTTCATACAGAGCATACAACAATAATCTAATTAAAAGTTTATGGGATCCCTAGCCTTTGGGAATTGAAGCACCATGAAGAAAAGAGACTGTGGGTTCTAAGATGGTGTTGAGTTTCAATCTAAAGTAAGGCAATTAGTCATTTCAATGACATCTACCAAACCCAATGATTACATAAAGAGGTTAACTTAATTCCTTGTCTAATAAAAACATCTACCAACAATAACATTTCTTTTCACTTCCTTCAACTTCATGAAGCCCCAATTTACAAGGAAAACCATTCGTACATGTGCAAACAAGTTGTTTTGAGAGAGATAAAATGTGCCAATTCCAAGCTAAGGCATTTGAAGCTTGTGAACAAGCTCAGCGCCTACAACTTTGAATTTTGGTAGCCCAGACCTTGGTAACCTTTTGAGTGACCAATCACAAAGTCTTTGCGGGTACACCTACAAATTTCTTTCTTAGCCAATGGGGCAATATCCTCTTTCATCAGCCAAACAAATCTCAAAAGCCCAACAACTGGCAACCACCCCAAGAGGAACTATCGGCAACCACCCCAAGAGGAACTATCAAACTCAATTTTGATGGTTGCTCGAGGGGTAACCTAGGGCTAGCTGGGGCTGGGGGTGCATTCCGAAACCAAGAAACGAATATTCTGCTCACGTACGCTGAATCCCTTCGCATTACTAACTCACAACATGCTGAAGCAAAGGCAATGTTGATAGGGCTCAAGCATTTCAACCCATCTTGGCGATCCCACTTGATAGTTGAAGGGGACTCATACAACATCATTTCTTGGACATCTGGAAAGTCTTTACCGCCATGGTATCTACTGCCAATCCTTGATGAGATTGATTTCCTTTGCAAGGGTATCAACGTCTCATGGAGGTATACATTCAGGATGTCCAATGCTCTCACAGATCTAATGGCCAATGATGGAGCTGATCTTACAGATAATCTTTCAACCTTCTTAAGCTCGCTGGGCCTTTTTCTCTTTTTTGTGCTCTACTCACTTCACGTTGCAAATAGGGTGCTATATAAACCCTTCCACCATTTTTGCTAAGCCAACTCATTGTTGTCACAAGCTTTTAACTCTTTTATGGCTTTTTTGTAAAGGGATTACCTTGCCCGTTAGGGTCCTGATAGCTCCCGATTTTTGTAAGGGACGCTAGACCCAACACTTGTACAATTTTTTTCTTTCAATGAAATAGTTAACTTTCTCTCAAAAAAAAAAAACTATATATATATATATGATCTTTTTTAGGGTGGTACGTACTGATTCAATTTTGAGTTTTCCAGATTAATTATTTATTTACCATCCCCCAAATTCACACGAACGACACTATAATTTAAAGATATGTGACGTACTCCAGCAATTTCTATGCCACCTGTCAAGAGTACATTCAACTACAAGCTGGTTGTGGTTCTCAAACGTAATGTGAGGAAGAGCCAAACAAAGGGAATGAGAGTGGACAAGAAGAAACAAGTCCGACAGCGAATATTCTCATTTGCAGTTTGATGCAATTCCCTCTCTACTCATCCAAGGCCTCTATTATGCATTGGTGAGTCAAGATCAGATATGAGAATCATATAGCAAAGAGGTGTGAGAGGATGATTGCATAGTTGAACAAGGAATTCACATCTCTTGGTAGAGAGGCTTTTATCACTGATATTTTTATGTTGTTATTGGAATTTATGCCCATTGGCCAATGACCTGGAGAAACAGTTTGGTTGTGTTGTCATATCCAAAAGACTAAAAGGTGTATGCATAGGCTCATCTGCCCAGGCTTACTGAGGAAAGCCTTTCTAGCCTCATTTTGGAGGATGCAGAGGTCAGTGACCCTTATCTTAGTCAACTTTTATCTAATCCCTAATCCTGTATACATATTGATTATTGAGACCTTACTTTGATAAGAGAAAGGCCAATTTTCTGGGTAGCCCAGGTGGAAGAACAAGGGTGGGAGGTGTCCCAAAAAATTGTTTTAGGTCCAAATTGTGTGTAAAAAATGCATATTGAGGCATTTTAAATACATTTTTTCATGTTCAATCAATCCAAACTCCAAAGACAAACCAAAATATCTGAGATTTGGACAATTTGTTAATAACATATTAAGAAAATTAGGAAAATAATCCAACGTTCAAAATTAGTACTAGACCACTAGCAGACTAGACTACTAGTACTAAGTACTAACACAATCAAAAGGAAAACATAATAATCATAATATCATGTAGTTACAAACTCACAAGTCACAATACAATTCTTCAATTACAATCCCATTAATCCGCACTTCATAGTCCAAAGTCCAACCCAAACAACATAGAGCATACTTCTTATTAACTCATACACATAATGACATAACACATAGTCTATAGTCCATACACTCCATACCATTACCATGATTACCATCCCAGTCCATACTCCATACTCTATACAAACAAGAGGAGGAAAAAAAAAGGTGGAAAGAAATATAGACTTGAAAAATCAGAGTCTTCGGTTATCATCTGAAAAAGTAAGGCTAACTACATCATATGCATCGGAGTTCAGCCCATCATTATTGGAATCATCTCTCCCCTCAACATGACACTCGTCCTCCTTCGTTTCTTTTGAATCTTCCTCCTCTTCCTCCCACCCCCTCATCCTCTGTGAGGATGAATTAGTATCCCTAGGAGGGTCGGCTGCTATACATGTGGCGTCCACAACAATATCCTATGTCAATCCCTCATGCCCCATGACCTCATCATCTTCAACCAACCACTCCATGGTATTCCCCATGTCTTTCGTTCTAAGGGGGTCTCTTTTTTTGCGCTATGCAAAGCTTTACTTCAAAAGTCATTGAACTTCACATAAATAAGTCATATGGCCTCTTTGATTCAAGCTTGTTTCTTTTCTTTGCATGAACCTATATGAAAAATTGATATTACAATTTAGATAGTAATCAGTAATTACTCATATTAATTAGTAAAATTGTAAACCGATAATTTACTTGTTTAAAATTTAAACTTAAGTGGCATAGTAAGTAGCAACTAACATATCATCTCAAAAGTATTCCAGTTCAGCTCACAACCAGATGAGGTAGTGGTTAGGCTCAAGATCCGAATGTTCATCTTTTGTACATTTAGAGCACTAGACCCATGCTAGCTCCACCAATAGGCTGCAAATTGTGTGTTAAAGATTTATCTATAAGTTAATTATGAATTGAATATGAATTACGATTATATATGAAATATTAAAATCAAACAACATGAAACTTGAACTTAAAAACTGTATTGAGAATATTATTCCTTAGATCAACTTTGGTCCTCTGCCATATCGCCATTGCACCCCGAAAAGACTTCAATGTACAATTGTAATTTATTAGTTTATCAGAGCATATAATGTTTTAGATTTAAGGATTAAGGACTAGCATATCCAGAGAATAATTAAATTCAGTTATAATTGTGTTATTTGTCTGTATATCCCTATCAACATAAAAAAAAAACTAGGTTCAAAAAATAACCAGCCTATCCCACTGCTCATCAATAATCTCTGAAATTGGCTCATAGAGGCTCTCATCATTATCCAAATTTTTAGCTCTCTCTCTCTCTCTCTCTCTCTCTCTCTCAATTTTTCCATTGCCTCATATATGAAGCCCATGGAGGGCTTGTCACTGTCAACCATCCACAAGATTTTGACTAGAAGAAAAATACCCTAAGAGCTCCCTTCAACCCTCACCAAAAAAACTTAGATAGGATAATATGTCGTGTTTTCTTCCCTTTCTGATCCCTGGCCGACTTGGATGCTCTCCAACCACTAGACGTGAACATCCGCGCCAATTGGACTCCCCTCGCCCATATGTTATCTAGACACAAGAACTAGGTAGCATATCTCATTATCCTCAACCTCACTATCTCCTTCTTTGTAAACCTGTGAATCACGCTACGGGCGAGGGTGAGGGTGTGCGCCTATAAATGAAGGTCGTAACTGAATTAGCCTTCCTAATTGTGCATGTAATCTCGCTCATTCCACCAATAGCCTCAAGCATTATGCAGTGTGTTGTGCATGGTGTCCAAAAGATATGAGAGTAGCTCATGCACAACAAATTAGAAGCAGCAGCATTAGGGAGCAGCATTATCTGCAACAACCAGAATAACATGTTGCTCCCCAGCCTCCTTTATATCCTTCTCAATCGCTTTAAATACGTACAGGGCATCATGGCTATCATCAACGGCATCAATTGATCTCAAAAAAGAGTCCTTAAAGGAGAAATTCATCTGACTCCTCTTCCTTTCACTCCAAGTATCAGTTATAATAGATACCCCATACTAAGCCCATGCATCCTTATGCGAGTCCACAATCTATCTCACGATTTCCATCTCTTTTTTCAAAAGAGGCTCTGAAAACTCATATGGGGATGGGAGCTTCAACCCAAGCCCAAATTGGCCAATTGCCTCCA